TATTTTACGCAAATTGAAATCTTAAGCTGTAAGATGAAAATTTCTGCATTACGCGTTCTTTTCTAAGACTCGAATCTTCTATTTTGTACGAAAACGTAGCTTTTAGAGCAATCCGCAGATTCAGTAAAACAATACAAAATCCCTCTGTAGCTTCTATGACATTTCAGAAACGGGGGAAAAGGCGAAATCGTCATTTTGTACCAGATCAAGCTGGTGTTATATTTCTATTCAGAAATTTTCTTTCCTTGTTACCTCTTGCACTTTCTAGGCAGGAAGGAAATAAAAAATGTATGCTTTTGTTGTGTAAACCGAATAAGGTAAGAGAAATATATATATATATATCTTCTTTAGATTCGCGAACTGGTATCAATAAAAAATACTATATTTATTGATAGCAATAAATTACTTTTAGCAATAATCGAACACAGCAACAATTCTCAACCGGTGATAGGCCAGAGTTATTATTATTAGTGCTTAGCTTTCATATCTACTCACTTGTTACTGGACTATACATAAATTAATCATGCATGAAGCTATTTTGTAGTACATGTATTTTTCGATTTCTTGTATTCTTATTTTTAAGCAAAGTCTTGTACTTTTGACCCCAATAATTACATTTCCTTTACGGAATTAAAGGCAAAATTGTCACAGATATGGAAATACTTGTGATTTGTTGTAATTTTACTTAATACTTTTTTACTGTGCGTTATGTTTTCAAAATCATACAAATGCAAAAGGAACAATTATTTTAAATACCTAAACCTGTTTATTAGGCAGTAATAAAATACACAATTTAAGTAAATTTTTGCAGGAATCTGAAGCGATCTTTTTACTCAATGCCAAAGAAATAAAGGATATACTTATTTCAGAAACACCATTTGCAAAATTTTGAAATGTTACAATCTTCGAAAATATCCTGGCTGAAACACGTTGAATTTTTATTGTACATAATGTAATTTCGTGGTGTCAATGCCTTTATGTTTCCCATATGTTCACTTCGAGTAGCCATTTTCTGTCACTTCTCTCAATTTATTATCACTTTTATCGCCTTAAATTGGTAAGTGAGTTATAGCATTAAGATAAACTGATGAAAGTGCAGAATAAATGAACGCCTACTAATATGAAAAATCTAATTTTAAAATTATGGCATCCACAGAAAGTATAAGAAAAATTGCAAGAACTTCGGGGGGGGGAGAAAAACATGGTCATGAACGCATTGTGTTTTAAATTTATAAAATTTGAAGAAATCAATAAGACAAGTTTTGGTAAAGTCCTAGTGGAAGTGATAAAGCCCCAAAAATTCCCTTTTCGCACTCGAGCATTTCGGAAGCAAATACCATAAAGAGATTAGAGAAGAATATATTATTGAGTGTGCATTCACATACAACAATACATTTTCTACATTCATAGGAACGCAACCCATCTTGAAATAAATCTCACTTGTGTGACTACGTTATAAAAAAAACAGTTCGAGTCTGTAAATGCGTAAGTTGTTTGTTCACTCGAAGCACAAAAAGGTTAATGTCTTTCTAAGAAATGTATTTATGACTCTGATGGCAAAAACTACGAAAACGTCTATGCAGCCAGCCTGCATGTCAGTATTTAAGCAAATACATAGGTAATCCGTTCGTATAAGTCTGTTATTTACATGGGCTATAAAAATTTTCCCCGTTTTCTATACAAAAGTCAAAGGGTTGTATTTAATTATTACTCGAATATATAGGTATCTCTAAATTATGGTAGGAATATGTGCATAAGGTGGGCAATGGGTGCAAGTGAATTAGAATTTTGATATTCCATCAGTGGAATGCTTAACAAAACAGCCTCTTAAAAATTTTTAAAAGGCTATCTGTCAAAATCAGCTGCTTAATTTAATCAACAAAAGATACTGTTAGATTCATGGCAACAATGTTACACTAATTTCTCTAATTACAAAGGATTGGTTACTTTACGATTCCCCAAAAGTACTGTACTATGTTTTCTCAAAATTCAAATAAAAGCATCTAAAGGTATATGTAGATAAAGAATAGCACTAAAACATGCCCTTTAAGTATGTTCGTGGACAGTATATCTTCTGATATCAGTGAAACGTTAGTTCCTTCAATGAATATGCAGATCTAAGCTATAGCAGCTAAAACCATCACCTAAATTTTGATTTTTGTATGTTTTAAGCTTTATAGTTGTTTTATAGTGATGCAGAGCTTTTAGGCGCAAAAATATTTCTGCTATTTTTTTTTACTTAAATGTAACATTCAATAGAATAAAGTCCAAAGCAATGTTTTTAGTCTTATTTCCTTGTCATTGTTTGATTTTGAAGGCACTATAGCTTGAAAACATATTAAATGATGAAATTAGGTCGCAATTGTGACCAGCTTTGGTTTTGGTTCACTGCTTTTATCTTAAATAATGTACTGAAAGATTAAGCTGAGAGTCAGGTAAGTTACTTAAAAGAAATGGTTAAGAAAATATAAGCTCCTTGTATGTTCTCTCTTGAGATTTGGTAAATAATATCTTATATGTATTCCAAATGCAATAAACGTTTTCTAATATATTAACCTTACTAAATGTATTCGTCACATTAAAATACTTTATTAAATGTATTCGTCGTAATAAAATACATTTTTACAGATAAATTTTTAAGCTATCATTTAAAATATAACAAAATATTGTGAAACTTTATTATCGTAAATTGAGATATTTTAATACTTAATACATATAATAAAATCTGATTATGATATTAATGATCTTATGAGTAATAAAACTTCAAATGTTGGTTTAGCAATTTTTATAACATTTCATCTCCTTTATTATTAAACACCATAAACGCTGTCTTTCATTTGAATTATGAAATGCTGCTGATAATTTGTTATCTATTAAGATTAAATTTTGTTGCATGAATTCAAAAGCCAAGGTGAATTTTTAAAGAAAGCCCTTGGTTCTTTAAGAAATGACAGTCACTTTAATCATAACTTCATGAACTTTTAAACTGATCTATATGGGTATACCTTTAAATAATAAAATATAATAAATTAAGTCAAAAATGCATTTATTCAGTTAGACGATACAATGTCCTTTCCGGAGTCTTCAAATATCATAATTTCCCTTTTATAAAATCTTTAATAAATTTTAAATGTTCAAAATGTGTGTTCGGAGTTATTTCATGACGTTATTTCGGTTTCACAATACAAAACAATCTGGATAAAGATGCCATATATAACGAAGCTATGTAAAATGAAATGAACAACAAAACGGCTGCATTAAGTGAGCAAAATGAGTTTGCATTCAAAATCGTGACAACACATATTCAGCACTAATTAAAGAAAGTAGATTTTGTTTTGATTAATTCCTTTGTATATGGGCCAAATTTCAGCTACCAAATTTTACAGCATACAAATACTCACTATTATCGAAAAATGCAGTTTTATTAGTGCAAAGTATTAAAAAATCTTAGTACACTCATGTCCATAAATTAAGGATAATGCAAAATCAGGCAAAGGAAGAGTTAGAAGCAAAACAAATTTGACTTATTTGTAAAGCTTATTTATTAAACAAAAGGTAAAGAGCAAAAAATGATGCTATATGTTTGATATTATTAAAAACATTAGCGATTTTTTCTCCCTGGAGAAAATTACAAAAACACCTATTTACAAAAAAAAAAAAAAAAAAAAAACAATATTACATGGTTGGTATGATTGTTAATACATTGTATGTCTCCCAGACGATGCAATACAGTCCGTACAACGCCTAAGCATGCTGAGTATCAAATTATTGATCTGATCTTGGGGGATATTACACCACTCAAAAAGCAATGCTCTTGTAGACATGCCGGTAGACATGTAGGAGGAGGTTGACGGGCTGCAAATCGTCGGCCAAGCATGTCCCACACATGCTCTACTGGATTCAAGTCCGGTGAGAATGCTGCCCAGTCCATACGGGTGATATCCTCCGATTGAAGGCATTCGCTTGCGATGTTTGCACGGTGAGGACGGGCGTTGTCATCTATAAACACAGATTGTGTGCCCATTGCGCTCCGAAACAAACGTACATGTTGTTCCAGAATGACGTCCCGATAGATTTGGCTTGTCATGGTTCCAATTTGAACATGCAGGTCAGTTCTGGAACCCAGAATAATTCCACCCCAAACGAGCACTCCTGCACCACCATAACGGTGTCGTTCAATGATGTTTTCTTGGTGGTAACGGGTACCTGGACGAGACAGGTCTGAGGCTGTGCTCCGCATGTTTCTTTTGGCAGTAACTGCCAAATACAGGTACTAATTCGACGTTGTAACTCTGGGGCGACCTGTGCTGTAACGTCTACTCACATTACCATCATCTTGAAATCGTTGCCAAAGCCTGGAGATGACACATTGGGCAATTCCAAGTTCGTCTGATACTTCCAGTTGGGTACGCCCACATTCCAGACGGCCGATAATTCTACCACGTAAAACATCATCCAAATGCGTCCTTTGTGTCATAATTATTCGGTTATTGCACTGAAATGCTTATAAAGCGCCTGCGAACAATTTTACTTCCTTGCCTGTATTCCTTATATATCACTCTCTTACACTCTCGTCATTGTGACGTACCATCGGTGTCATCTGGTTACTTCCTGAAATTTGCATATGATTCTTGAAGATGTGTGTAGTGGTTTTAAAGGTGATATATTTATTTTAGAGTTCGATATTCGCATGACTCCGAATTATCCTTAATTTATGGACATGAGTGTATTTAAAATCTTAGTATTCGTAGTACCTTAAAAAGTCTTATATTTAAAACGCAGCTATTTTTTATTATTTGATGAATTGTATTTTTCCCTTATTTTTGATTAGTGCTTTGCACGATTTTAGTTATTGATATTTAAAGAATTTTACAAATTAAAATAAAGTAAGGGCTGGAATCCGTTTTTTATAATGTAAAATGTGTTCCCTCGTGATTTAGGAAAAATGAGTACAGTGCATTCTTTATTATTTTAACTATGGTCAATTTTTCATTGTTCAGATTACGACAGGGACCTACGGGCCAGTGGTGAACACCAGAGTCGCGACTTCAAATATGGTGAAAAGCGAAAATCATAAAAAAGTGGACTTCAGCCCTTATACATCTAAGGTACAGAATATTGATATATTATGGATGTTTTGTTCGATGTTTGTCCTCGAACCCATTCCTCTCCCATAGAATAATTTATGATCTTTGAAAATTAAAATAGCAGTTTTTTTGAGTACTCCACATCCTTTTCATCTCGCATGTCCTTATTTTACTTAATGTTTCTTTCTATATTTTAATATATCCAACAAAATAATTTTGCTTTAATTTTTCACATTTATTGAAAATAGCATTTTCTTACTGAGAACGAAACATGACTGCATATATATGTAAAATATTGTAGCAGTTTATCACGATGGAGAAGGATATACCTGTATTAGCACAAATCAAGAATGCTGTTCGTAGTGTACTAAATGCTAAATAAGCTAAGGCGCGGTAAAGATGAAAAATAAAAGTTTTATTAACCCAGAACATAAAAGAAATGTGGTCGCAAGCGTAGAAGATTATTTAGTATTGAATACAAATGTAGTAGATAAACAGTTACAGAAAGGGTAAGTAAAGAGTCCGATATAAGGTCGAAGTTCTCGCTACTGTAGTTTCAAATACCCACAACCAACTGCCGACGACGTAATTAGTAAGCTTGCGAACGAAACTTAGCCCTTAAAGACGTAAAAGAGGCAATAATTAAGGTTTTTAAAATAGAATGCAAGCTTACTTCTGTTCGTTTCACACACAAATCTAATTTTAAATAAATAAATTAAAACCTGTAACTAACCAGTTGATGTTTACTGAACTTATGAATTTCTAAAAATGATTTTAGGTTAACCTTGAAACTTGACATTGTAAAGAAAATGCATTTGAACCAAGCGTGCCATTTTAAAATTATATCGTACCTATGCGCATAATATATTTATATTTTATTATATATACAGTCTTATTTTTTTATTTCATGCTCACGTTTCATTGCTATGCATACATTTAGCGTGGTTTCTGATCGCAACTGCATATTTCAAAAAAGGAATTACTCTATAAAATTAAAAAGGAGAAATAAAAAGGTTTGATGGCATTACTATACGAATAATAACTTGGAATTCCTAAATTTTATGATCTCCTAGCTAATGGCTGATGAAAGAACATTAGTTGCTTTCTAGAAATCAAAGATTACTATTATTGATACTTGTAGCTATTACATTTTTATCTCGAAAATCATGCATTTTTAAATCCTAAATAGCATCTGAAATGTAATAAACGTGCTTTGGTAATCTCATGGGAACACATTTTTAGCATAACACTGTATATTCCTTACAAAATATTTTCTCAGCTATTTATGTTCTTGCCCGAAATTTTCCTCTTAAATAACATACTAATAAGTAGTTCAGTCATAAAAATGTCTTAAACATATTATTTTATGACTACTTATTCCTGACAGCGCATACATTCAATATGATGTTTTATGCACGAACACAAGTTTTAAAATTCTTCAGAATAAGTATATTTTAAAGCTATAATATGAACTGTAGAGAGTTTGATGTCTGGATGGGGAGTGTTAAATCGTTACGCTGTAATTATTCAATCTCGTTAATACTAAGAAATAAAATGCTTTCCTTCAGCAAAGTCAATATCCCATGGCGTGTCATATAAGCATCTAAATATCTGCATAGAATTATACCGCAATTACATGCTCTTCTGTAGTAATCCATTATAATTTTCAACGCACAATAAATTTAACTTAAAGTACAATTGTACGTTTTAAAATATTATATTTGCTAGGATGCATATGGTACATGCGAACTAGGTGAATATAAAGTTAAGTATAAAAATTGCCCTTATGAAGGCATTCTTATTGCCTCTCGTGTTGTCAGAAAATTTATATTTCTCTATTGCACCCAGATTTTGCCAGTTTGACTTAATATAGTAATGACTATAGAGCCGCACAGCAGGTATAGTAGTTAGTGATCCTTACTGCCGTAGCGATGGGTCCGAGTTTGAAGCTCGGATGAGAAGTAGTTGTAAATGTCCGTTTCTTCATAGGAGGCAACGGTGGCCACTTGCTAGGTGCTTCCATAATGAGATGGCCACCACTTACTGCTCTTGTAGTAGCCCAAAGTTAATGGCTGTTAAATTAAGAGCCCGGCCATTAAAAAGAAAAAGTAGTGACTATAGTTTGCAGTCTATAGGCTTCTGAATATATCATCATTTTATATCAACAATCTCTAAATTTCTAAAATTCAGAATTTGCACTTAAGCAATGTAACTTCATTCTCACTACCTAACGTATGCATGTTTTGCTCCTTCTGAGTGCTAACTTAATCCTTGAGGTTAAATAACACCGGCATGAAATTAACAGCTTTAGTATTCAATCAGCAAGCCCCAAGCTACGGAAATAAACTTTGTACTCTATGAAGAAATACATGTAACACAAAATACCCAGGTTATTATTTTTACAGCCCTTGAGCATCATAAAATTATTCTTAATAGATGTAAATAAGTCTAAAAACGTTAAAATGGAGTCCAGCCTAAATGCAAATTAAGTAGAAAGAATTGATTAAAAATATATATTACGACCGCTTGACTACACTCGATAAGCATTCGGAATTAATTTCTTTCATATTCTGTTATAAATAGATATAATATTAACGCATTCCCAATAGAAATCCTAAGCATTATTATATATATATATATCTAAAAAGTAATTAAAAGGAAAATCTTAGGAACGAAAAGCCTGCAACTTCTATTTCAGTGCGATATATACACTGCTGGACATTACAATTGCAACACGAGGAAGGAATGGTTTGAAGAACGTCAAAAATCACATGAAACGAAGAAGAGGTTGGTATATGCAAACAATTAGTATTTCAGCGCATTTAGACGACGCAGGAGGAAGAAACGACATTTGAAGCACTGTGGAAAAGAAACATTTTATAGTGGATATCTCACATGAAAAACGCTTTGTAAGGTCGGATTTTGCTCAATATCGTGTTGTGACTTGAATAATAAGAAGAAATGCTTACCAGCAAGTGTCGGAATTCGAGAGGGGTAGGATCGTTGCCTGTCGAGAGTGCGAAATATCGTTACAGGATTTCGCCCGTCGCACTGGTCGACTTGCAGCCACTGTCATGAGAATATGGAATGAGTGCGTTGCTGAGGGTCATACTGAAAGGCATACAGGGTCGCAAAGCCCTCCCAAGAATAATGCGCCAGAGTCCTGGCTCTGCGTGTGGTATTCTGATTTCCGTATACGTGTTTGGACGCTCCGAGGAGACGGCACGTCTCCTGCTTGCATTCGATATAAGTATAGGGGCCCGTACCTGGTGTGATAATTTGGACAGCCATTAGGTACACGACACGCACATCTCTAGTTGGGATCGACTATAATTTGAACGCAGATAGTAGAAACAGCTGCAGATCACAGCTGTTTCAACTAATTTCGCACCCCTGTAACCCTCCAAACTTCTTGCAAATCTAATCATTTTGTCTTCATGCCATATTGTTTACGTACAATAAATAACATTTTTGTATTTTCTTTCCTTCATTGCGTTGCAATTGTAATGACCAGCAGGGTATATATATATATATCAGGACAAATTACACGAGGGTACGAGAGTTATTATCTGAACTAAGAGAAGCTTTTCTGGAGGAGTTTTTTTTAAGAGGAATGGAGTCGTATTAACGTTACACTTGCGGAACATCCCCGAACACCAAACCCGTAGCTATCCTGTGTGCCCTTATTTCGAACAAGTATACAGCGTTCTTTACTACTTGCCAACTAATAGGGTTTAATGTAGAGCAGCCATTGTGGAGAGCGTTCTAAGACCAAAAACTTCGCGTTGATTCTAACGAAAACGCCGCTTTAAATATAAAAAGATTTAAGATCTGAGAATTTAACGTAACTTACAAAAACTATAGAAATTAGAAATTTTAGCTGGTTGTTTGTTTGAACTAGAAATGGAGTAATTCAGAAAGCGCTATTCCGTAGCAAAAAACACAACATTTATTAAACTTAACAATAAAGTATCATAACATAAAATAAAAGAAACAGAAGGATTGGTGGTCCGCTGTTATGTTCAACCTACAGTACAGCCAGAACAGGGCTTTCTGGAACAGTAGCAATACAGCAATAACAGCTTGGTTATTTGTAATAACAGCAAGAAGCTCATCGACGCAGCCTAGAATTAGCTGCAACGATAAATCCAAACACTGCTTCTAAGCGGCACTCCACTATTAGCTGCAACTCGCAAGTGGCGTTTCACCATCATTCTCAAGAATTCGAATCTGGACACATAGGCAAGTGGATCAACATGCTTACAGTGCATTGCAACACAGCATGTGTTAATTTTAGCCACACGGAAAAATCCGTTTGCCCTTGTATTATATCTCCACTTTTTTCCCAATATCCATGTAGCCGGACAAGTTTCGCCTTTCAGCAGAATCATGTACCTAACTACCAGATTCTGTCGATCCCTTGTCCAGTTTAATCTAGAGTGCAAGGTATTACATACCTTTCACTAAGCGATCTCTTCCAGAATCTCTATTTTATTTTTCAAGCTGATTCCACATAGAACGAAATTCTTTAAGACTAGTACAGTCACATTCTGCAACTGAGAAGAAATTGTTTAATCTAAACTTGTTATATATGACGTAATGTAAATCAGAGGCCTAGAAATTAAAATAGCCTTTATTTTAGCAAGCGAAGTAACCAGCTTTTCAAGTATGAGCACAGTCTCTAGTATCACTCTTCAGATAGGAAGCTGTAGAGATTTAATTCCGTTTCCCCATACACCAATGAAACATGAAAAGGCAAGAGGAATCGTATACCACTGAATGGACAGATCAGCCAAAAAGCCACCGAATGCCTCTGATTTATTCCTTTAAAGCTACCTCCACCTCATCATGCAATTTTCTCTTCGCTTCTATAATATTAGTAGTATTATCACTGAAATTGTGTTGCCGTATAACCTCTATGCGCAGCAAACCTCTTCATTGCAGCAATAAAAGAATCAGCAGTTAAATTTAAAATAGGTTCCCTTAGTAGCCTTTCCAGCGTGCCCTTTGCTAAATTTCAA